GTACGTCCTACAAAATCTCCCTGATGCTTCGACCAAGTTGCCAAATGAGGTCAAACCAACACTATAAGGCTAAAGAAGACTGCGACCAAACAGAAGGCCATACTATCTTGGTCTTTATATCTATAATCAAATTGTATTCTTTGTATAAATTTGATCAGTACATTGTTTGGCAATCTTACTTCAATAGAAGTGGGTTGACCTCGTAGTCGCAACTTGGTCTTGTTGTCAGGGGGACTTAGTAGAACGCACCTAGTCTGAAGTCGTTTACTATAGTAGTTGTCATGATTCCCAGCATCAGACAGTGAACTTGGTACATTCTCAAACGTTTCGCCGGCATCATAGTCGGCATCATCAGTGAGTTTTGCTATTCTCCGCACCAAGCTACGAACTCGTCAAAGAGACAGGTGAAGTCAATCCTTCGACAGTCGTTCAGCCGAAAACGGTCACACTATCACTCCTCTTTCTGTCATTGCCTATCTATCTACTCTTTACACTCTTATCCCACTACCGCCCTATCACAACTCACTTGTTTACATTCCACTCGTCAAAATGTGTTTCCTTTCGTGGTAAATCTAATGTGGCCTCATCACACTTGTTATTCACCCCGACCTCCTTTCTTTCGATCGGCTGATCCGACTTGGGTCTCCGATCCGGATTCCCCCATTGTCTCGTACATCCGTTCCTTATCTTTTGGGTTGACCGATTTCACTCGGTTCGAGTCCGGACCATACCAGAGGCCACAAAATCTTGGTCTTTATATCTTACTTCTATAGTTTAATTGAAATTGTGAAGATAGCGACCACACTATAGGCCTCACAATATTGCTTTTCGCACCATTGATGCTTTAGTGAGTTGGCAGCAGAATATGGCCAGGTCTTTTGATAATGATATCAATCTTTTAATAAATGTAAATTAACAGTCACGTGCTGGAACTAACTATGGCTGCCAGTGTAAGTCAGACAGGATGTGTTTTAACCTAACAACATGAATAAGTTGCATAAAAGGGTCAAACCATTTCTTATCAGCATCCTCAGCGAGACTCGAACCATGGCAGTGCAACGTATAGCCTCGACGCGTTAATCACTACTCCACACTGCCACGAGGGCCTTTAGGTCACAGAGTAGATGTGATTTTCAAGGAAGATAAGATATTTTCGTATATCACCTTATATGGTGGTATTGTCGATGAAAAAAGCAGTATTTGGTATCGTTTATTGAATACATTACTTATTTTTCGTTTTATAGGCAGGTTTTTGAGACTAGCAGTAGATCATATATATATATATATATATATATATATATATCATAATACTGATAATGTCGAAAATCTACATATTAAACGAAAAATAAGTAATGTAGTCAATAAACGACACCAAATTCAACTTAGCTTCGTCGACAATTCTATCACATAAATGCGATATGTGATAGGCTTAGGCTTCCTCGAAATTCATATATGTCCAATGACCCAAGGGTACTCAAGGTAGTGTGGTGTAGTAGTTAACGTGTCATGGTTCGAGTCCAGCTGGGGATACCGATGAGACCTAGACGAAGTCGAAACGGCAGCCCACTTCAGGCTGGATGAGAATACCTTTGGAAAAGCAAGGCTAAGTGAAATTTAATGGAAATGTCATGTCTATTCATATGATTGTGGGGAACTTCAGCTACCAGTCTCTTTATCACATTAAACAAAATGGGGTGAATATACCTCAAATATATGATTTACTGTTAGTCTCAAAAACATGCTTATAAAACGAAAAATGACTGAGGATAGTCTTGAAATCTATTCACATCAAAAATAGAAATAATGATATTTTCCCTGATAGCACCTTGGATTTTCTACATTCATCAACGTTTGGGCGTATACCAACTCTACGATCCGATGCTCAAACTAAGCATGACTACAATGGCAGAGGAATTTTTTCATTTAAGTCGCCTTGATAGCACGAATAGGTTGCCATTGGATGATCAATTTTTATTCAGGTTTTACTGTTAGTCGCGGAGGCCACTTGACTCTGAAAGGAATTTCTCTATACTCGCCGCGTTCACTTGGTGGCAAATGAAGACGCCGTTACGATGTCTTTGTGGTGGATGGACAGGTCTGGATGGCAGTGAAGTGGAAGGCTCTTGATCTGCCAATGCAGTCATGCCTGTGGCCCACTCGCGTGAGTCTCTACAGTTGTCCGAGACCATTAAGGGCATGTGTGCTGCTGGGCCGAGGCTGGCGCCTTAAAAATCTCTTTTCACTGCCCGGACTTGAGTCTGGAGTCGACCGAATAGCCGACGAGGGTGGCAACCGTTTGTCTTGTCGCTAGGGCGAAGTGAGACGAATCTCAGATCTTAAGTCTCCCCGGTGCAGACACAGTCGTTTTCGCCCAGTCTCCGATAAGCCTGTTCGTGGTTGTGAAGATCGCGGAAATCGTCGCATGCCTGAGCGGGCAGATAAACCGGCTTGACGGGTTGGTGGGGTTCGGAGGACAAAAAGGAGGGTACCACTTTTTGGTGTAATCGGTAATGAACATGGCCGGCCGATTAGACCGATTGCTCGGCCTGGCGACTGACGGAGCTACAGACAAAGGCGAGCCGGAGGCAGATAAACAAATAGGCCAGAGACACGCATGAATGGAGACACTAGTGAATACTTTAATGGGAGACCGATTGCTCCACTCTCCGGCAAGAGTTACATACTGATTCGGGCTGAGATAACCTGCTGCAGCGAATTCTACCCTTCGGCCTGGCAATTATACCGCACACACCAAAATGACACATTTCGCCAGACTCTTTGACCAGGGACGTGGCGACAGTCGCGTTTTTCACCTCCACAACCTCCTCCGCCCCACATGACCGCAAAAGATGCCTTGGCACGTTTGGCCGGTCTCGTCAAACTGGCGCATGGTCGACATGAGATAAGATCGGCCGCGCCTCACGGTAAATGGGCCAAAGACAAGAGGCACTAGCAACAGGGGTTGGACAGCCTAGAAACGGAGGGTAGGGAGGACAAGGGTCGGGTGGACAGGGTTGTAATGAAGAGGTTGATGTAGTTACGGCTGACTGCAGCCGAGATTGTCGTGCGGAAAGGCATTGAATGCCTAAAAGAGTGCTAAGCCCACACCGGCCGATGCTGGCCGAGAGATATTGGCAGGTTTGGAGAAAATCGCGTGGATGAGGCTTTGGAGATGGGAAACTCCATTGCAGCTTAACCGACACACGTCGAGTGCTACAACGATTAGGGAAATGGCACATAATTGGATGGACAACCTAACAGCATGGATCAAACTTAAAAAGGAGCATTCCATGCCCATCAATGCATATACACGCACTCTCCTCCCTGTTCTGTCTATCCACTGGCATATCTGCAAGCCTACCTACTTGTTCACATGCATGCATACACATATACATACACCTTTTATTATTTAAACACACGCACACACACACAAACACGTAACGCACGACACGTGCTCGCGCCAGCCCACTCACAATGACACATGAATATACACCCATCCTCATTTAAATACTTACCTACCTATACAGCTACAAATATTTAAAAAATATATATATATAAATAAATCACTTATCACATACGATATAAATTCTTTCCTACACACCCACCCACCTTCCTAAAACTTGTCATGCATACTCACACGTATACAGAAAAACCTTTAATTATCCGGGTTGACAGGTCTTCAGATGTGGATAACCACACGCCTACATACGTACCCATCCCTTTTCGCATATATGACGCGCATTCGTGTCTGCACACCCACCCAATCCACAATCACTTTTCACCCACACATACAGACATAGACCTACACGCTTGCATGTAAATGCATCTATATGCTTGAATAATGGCGATTTTAATTTGAGGTCTTCTATTTGCAATTGCATGGTCAGCCTAAATTGTAGATGTACAAAGCAAATTCTTCTTTCCAGCTTCTATAGCTTTTCTGGTATAGAGCTTTTAGACACAACTGATCTTACTGACGAAATTGATAAGACTGGCCGAAGACAAGTTTCTACGGCGTATGAAGTTGTCTATTGGCAAATGATGTTAGCTGCTCAAGGGCCCATTGCAGTAAAGCTTCACGAGGGCCCTTTGGGGCCTCGCTTGCCCCAAGAATATAAGTAATTCCCTACTCCCGGTCTAGGGCTACTAAAGTAATGTGAAAAGTAAAGTTTAGTCTTTCACCAATGATAGACTCAAAGACTACTTTCTTCGAAAATAAGTCTCAATTCTGGATGGCAGTCGTATGGGGGCCTTAGGCTCAGGCATTGACGTAATTCTGCCCAACCGGATCACTTGGGCCATCAGCCTGGGAGCCTCATACCTGAGCCCTACACTGGCATCAAGTTCGTCTAAGTAGAACATACTGTTACTAATTGTTGTTGCTAGGATAATTTTTATAATAATAAATAATAATAATAATTTATAATAAAACATACGGTAATAACATATTATATATATATATATATATATAAATAGAAAGATTTGATTATCTTTAGTATCCTTTTAACGAATATTTTATATTTAAAGGCAATAAATGCTTCGTTTATAAGTAGGTCATTTATATATGAAGTGTATTCACCCTATTTCGTTTGAGGTGACAAAGGGATAGTAGTTGTATTTTTATCACCATTATATGAGTAGACCTTACGATTCCATTGAATTCTACATAGCCTTGCTTTGGCAAAAGGTATTCTCATCCAGGGTGGACTGCAGTAGTAGTCCACCTAGACTGGTAATATCAAAAACCAACTTATAAAAAAACTATTAATTAGTAATCTGGTCAATTGTTATAGCAAATACAACTTTACTTCATCGGCACTCCCACCACGGAATGTAATATGGGAAAATACAGGTTCTTCCTTAAAATTCGTATCGTGGTAATGTGGCGTAGGGACTAACGTGGCAAGATTATACACTGCTTCGAGTCCCGCCGGAGGTGTTGATAAGACTTAGACGGGGTCGAAAGTGCAGCCGTCTCCTGGCTGGATGAGAATGCCTTTTGGGAAAGCAAGGCTGTGCAAAATTGAATGAAAGAAAGAGACCACAACATCTTTGTCTTTTTATCTACTATACAACTAGATACAATTTAGTATCAAATCTAAAAAATATTTAACTTGACAGCATAAAAAAGCCCAATAAATTAACCCACACAATAAACAAACATTATACATATAATTCACCATAAACTAGAAAAAAATTTTGCTTATTATAAAAACGCCTAAAATTGGCAACTCACTTAGACGAAAAACAATAACTATAAAAGAACTGAGTTCCCATATACTCTTACTAAAGATTAAATTAAGATAATTTTGTCCGATACCACTAATTCTCAGCAAATCACCAGCTACAACTAACAAACTACACTTTTTGTCTTCACGTTTTGCAAACTATCTCAAAGTGTAGCGTTCTGTTCTGACGATATGTGTTATATAATGGACGAAAAACCAGCAAGAAGGTAGAGGTGACAAGATGGTTCATCGGGGGTTTATTCGCACAAATCTACAACTACAACTCCAAGAAAATCCTCCATCAGCTTCAGGTTAGGCCAACTTAGGAATCCCTTCCATTCACCTCAAACGAAAAGAAATATATGTCAATATCAGTCAATAAAGGGATCTTTCGAAAACCCGCCTTTTTTCAAATCAATGGAGTCCTCTTTTGGATCGTAAATCCAAAAATAGAAATAAATAGTTGGTCGATTTTCAAGACTACCATTAAATCACATCCCATATAAGAAGTAGGTAGGATTGCAGTCCGTCACCCTTCGAATCTTAGAGCTTGGTTAAATGAGCCCGATGAAACATTTCACTCTCTAAAAACGTATTTCCCGGTTGGTAGACAGAAGTTCAGACCAGATGGTTCGTAGTCACAGGAATGTGGGATACGGACTTGTTCGTACAACTTCACATTCACAACTCATTTGGTTTCCTGTAAAGCTAATTCACGAATCTCTCCTACCCAGTTTTTCAAATGAAGGGCCTAGAAAAACGAGCCTTGAACTAGTTACCAGCAGCAAGACACAAGGCAAAAAGTTGTTGTGCGCAAAATCACTTGAGTTTAACTTGTTTAGCTAACTTACATTTCTAAAGAAAGTTATAAGTGAAAAAAAGCATAGGTCGATCTCACTATATCTCCCATATAAATATTCATATGATTTGAATTTAAATAAAGTATAGCGATTTTCTTGACCTATTGACTCGAAGCAAGGGCAAAAGTGGTACCCAGCTCTGACGATATCTACCAACTAGCTGGGCATAAGAAAGCCTAGCACGTTTTCACTGTAACTGAAGCAAGTTGCCTCAAGCACCACATCACTCGGAAGGTTCCAGCAAAGCCGTCATCTTCGGTTGAATTCAACTCAGAAAGCTATCATTCAATAATGAATTCTGGTTTATCAATTTCAATGAATACCTAACTAACTTCAAAATATTTTTTATTTTCATTATGATTTATTTCTTAACTTATAATTAATTAGTTGGTTAATGAACTTCTTCCATACTACTATAGACAAAACTAGTAGTGTTCGGTCTGTTCTGTAGTTCTTTATTAAGAACATCTTAGGCTAAGTGAGTTCACATAAGGACCTGAAACCAAAATGAGTTGGGACTAAGGTCTCATTCAATTGTGGGAGATTCAACTATCAATCTTTACATCACCTTAGAGGCCTAAAATATCGCGGATTATAATTCATGTTATTATGATTATTCCTGGCATGATTCATTCAAATTATATTATTATGGTCATGGTTATCTGACCTGCGAGCTAACTCGGCAACAACCACTCAAATTATGAAAAAGGAACATTCAGGTGACCGCCACAGTTTACCAACACAACATGAGGAGGTGGACATCATAGATAGCTCGAAAGTTCATTGCGTAGCCTTCAGCGATTGCATATTGTTGAAATGAGAAGCAAAACCAGCCAAAAAATAAAAAGGCACCAAAGACTCTGCAAAAATATGGAAAAGTAGATATCATGAACAGCAGAACATATATCAAGGAAAATACATGAAATCATATGGAACTTAACCGAAAGATGAAATGTATAAGGCGAAAATGCAAGGAGACGCACAATTAAGTCGGCTGTCGATATCCTTATCGTACTAAATCTGATTAATTAAAAATTTAAAGAAAGCAGAACTGGCGAAAATTTTGCCTATTATTTAAGAAGATTAGGAAGAAAACAGGTGCCAGCAAGAACAGCATAAAGGATAATATTTGAAAAAAATGGATCGCACGAAGAAGACTCTTGAGGTATAAGTGAAAATCAAGGGAGGCCGATGTTAGTGTGTGTAATCGCTATAGCATTTGAGCGTTTAAGGCATAAAGGTTTAGGGAAAGTGAAGGTCATAGCTCTCTTAGAAAAATGCAAATATTAATAGAAGAGTGAGGTTTGATGGACTAGGATTCGGCTCGAGAGATTTACCCGAGGACATGAACATACACAGCAACGGATGCCAGGGTGTCACAGAGTGGAAGTGGCATTCAAGGCAAGCCCGGACTCTGCTAAATTCCATATTTTTATATTAGCATTTTCGATGAGGTAAACTTGTATTTGCCAATGAAATCAATGACGTTACTTATATTCGTTGTAAGTCTGCTACGAGACTATCAGTAATTCTTGCGCATTCATGGGAAATAATGCCTCGAGTATGACGAATACGGACCCAAGGGACGAGCAAAATCAGTCAACCAGTGAGATAAGAAACGCATAATCGGATGAACGAAGAAAAATCAGAGAGAAGTAGTCGGATCAGTGATTCTGGTTCAAGGGGGCGAAAGCTAAATTAGCCGGAACTGTGATTACGCATCAATAAACCCTATCAAAAGGCGGCCCTATGGATCAGCTTAGAATAAACAAGTTAGAATTTATATAAAAGCTGTGTTTCTCCAATTTCATTTAAGATGAGGAAGGACTGGTAGTTGAATTTTCCCACAATTCTACGAGTAAGCCTCATCTCTCCACTAAATTTCACATAGCCCTGATTCCCAAAAGGTGTTCTCACGCACAGTGACCACGCACAGTTTTGACCACTTGGTATTGAGTCCTGCTGGGATTGGTGTTGAGGTTTGGGCGAGGTTGAAACTGCTTTTCATTCCTGCCTGGATGAGAACATCCTTGAGGAAGTAAGGCTATGTGAAATTTAATGGAAATCCGAGGCTTACTTTTGCCATTGTGGGAGAATGAAAATACCAGTATTTAATCATTATAAAACGAAATATGATGAATAAAGGTCTTA